TGTGGGAACGAGGCCTTGGGGCGGCCATCTTGGAAGTGGGAGGAGGCCTCAAGGTGGCCATGTTGGAGGTGGGAGGAGACCCCGAGGCGGCCATCTTGGAGGCAGGAAAAGGCCTCAGGCCTACCTGCGTTTTGGCGGGAAAAGGCCTCGGGGCGGCCATGTTTGATGTGGGAATGAGGCCTCCAGGCGGCCATCTTGGAAATGGGAGGAGGCCTCGAGGCGGCCATCTTGGAAGTGGGAAAAGGCCTCAGGGCTGTGTTTTGGCGGGAAAAGCCCTGCGTTTTGGCGGGAAAAGACCTCAGGGCAGCCATGTTTGGTGTGGGAATGAGGCCTCGGGGTGACCATCTTGAAAGTGGGAAAAAGTCTCCAGGTGGCCATCTTGGAAGTGGGAGGAGGCCTCGGGGTGGCCATCTTGGAAGTGGGAGAAAGCCTCCATCTTTGAGGCGGGAAAAGGCCTTGGGGCGGCCATGTTTGATGTCGGAATGAGGCCTCCAGGCAGCCATCTTGGAAATGGAAGGAGGAGACCATCTTGGAGGCGAGAAAAGGCCTCGGGGCTGCGTTTTGGCAGGAAAAGGTCTGTGTTTTGGCGGGAAAAGGTATCAGGGCAGCCATGTTTGATGTGGGAACAAGGCCTCGAGGCGGCCATCTTGGAAGTGGAAGAAGGACTCGAGGTGGCCATGTTGGAGGCGGAAAAAGGCCTCGGGGCGGCCATGTTTGATGTGGGCATGAGGCCTCGGGACAGCCATCTTGGAAGTGGGAGGAGACCTCCATGTTTGATGTGGGAGTAGACCCCGAGGCGGCCATCTTGGAGGCGGGAAAAGCCCTCAGGCCTGCGTTTTGGCAGGAAAAGACCTCGAGGCAGCCATCTTGGAGGCAGGACAAGGCCTGGAGGCGGCCATCTTGGCAGCAGAAGCAGCCCTCAGGCCTCCACCTTTGAGGCCCGAGGCTGAAAAGGCCCCGAAACCCCCTCAGGGATTCCAAGATGGCTCTAAAACCCCCTGAAAGTTCCAAGATGGCTGCCAAAAAGAGGCGGGAAAGGCGTGGGCGGGGCCAGGGGGCGGGGTTACCTTGGCGAAGGTGGAGCCCTTGCCCTCGCTCTCGATGGTGATGGTGGTGGTGCGGCGCAGGAGGATCTGGTCGATGTCCTCCTCGCAGAACTTGGAGCCCTCGTCGTCCTCCTCCATGATGGCGGCGTAGGCCCCCTTGCGCAGCAGGTCCTCGATCTCCTTCTTGGAGAACTGCTGGATCTGCCAAGATGGCCGCCGGGGCCTCAGCGCCGGGGATTCGAGCCCTGCTAGGCCTCAAACCCTGGTGTAGGCCCCAGGCCTCGCTAGGCCTCAACCCCTGCTAGGCCTCAATCCTTGGTTTAGGCCCGAATCCCTTCTAGGCCTCAACCCTTGGTCTAGGCCCCAATCCCTGGTAGGACCCAACCCTTGCTAGGCCCCCAACCCTTGGTGTAGGCCTCAACTCCCGATCTAGGCTCCAACCCTCGGCCTAGGCCCCAACCCTTGGTGCAGGCCTCAATCCTTGCTAGGCCTCAATTCTTGCTGTAGGTCTCAACCCTTGGCGTAGGTCCCAACCCCTTCTAGGCCTCAAGCCTTGCTCTAGGCCCCAATCCCTGGTAGGCCCCAGGCCTCACTAGGCCTCAACCCCTGGTGTAGGCCCCAGCCCCTGCTAGGCTTCAAACCTTGATGCAGGCCCCAACCCTTGGCATAGGCCCCAGGCCTCGCTAGGCCTCAATCCTCGGTGTAGGCCTCAAACCTTGCTAGGCCTCAACCCTTGGTGTATGCCCCAGACCTTGCTAGGCCTCAACCCTTGGCGTAGGCCCCAACCCCTTCTAGGCCTCAACTCTTGGTGTAGACCCAAATCCCTGGTAGGTCCCAGGCCTCGCTAGGCCTCAGCCCTTGGCGTAGGCCCCAACCCTTGGTGTAGGCCTCAACCCTTGACGTAGGCCTCAACTTCTGGTCTAGGCCTCAATCCCTGGTAGGCCCCAGGCCTCGCTAGGCCTCAACCCCTGCTAGGCCTCAACCCTTTCTAGGCCCCAATCCCTGGTAGGACCCAGCCCTTGGCCTAGGCCTCAACTCCTGGTCTAGGCCTCAATCCCTTCTAGGCCTCAACCCCTGGTAGGCCCCAACCCCTGGTGTAGGCCCCAAACTTTGGCCTAAACCCCAGGCCTCACTAGGCCTCAACCCCTGCTAGGCCTCAACCCTCAGCATAGGCCCCAACCCTTGCTAGGCCTCAACCCCTGGTGTAGGCCCCAACTCCCGATCTAGGCCCCAACCCTCGGCCTAGGCCCCCAACCCTTGGTGTAGGCCCCAGGCCCGGGCAGGCCCCTTACCCCTGCGATGTTGCCCTCGCGGCCGCTCATGGACTGCAGCACGGCCTTGTCCAGGCCCAGCTTGAGGCTGGCCTTGTCGAACATCTCCCGCTCGTAGGAATTGCGGGTGATGAGGCGGTAAACCTTCACCGCCTTGCTCTGCCCGATGCGGTGGCAGCGCGCCTGGGCCTGCGGGGGGGGACGGGACAGGGTGAGGAGGAGGAAGGGGGAGGCCCAGGACCCAGGCCCGAGGCCCGAGACCCAAAGACTGGGCCTAAGACTCAAAATCAAGGCCTAAATCCAAGATCCAGGCCCAAAACCAGGCTCAGGTTTAGGACCAGGCCCAAAACCAAGGCCCAAATCCAAGGTCCAGGCCCAACTTCAAGGTCCAACACCCAAAATCAGGGCCCAAAACCAAGGCCCAGGCCCAGGTTTAGGACCAGGCCCAAAACCAGGCCCAGGTTTAGGACCAGGCCCAAAACCAGGCCCAGGTTTAAGACCAGGCCCAAAACCAGGCCCAGGTTTAAGACCAGGCCCAAAACCAAGACCCAAGTTTAAGACCAGGCCCAAAACCAAGGCCCAAATTTAAGACCAGGCCCAAAACCAAGGCCCAAATTTAAGACCAGGCCCAAAACCAGGCCCAGGTTGAAGACCAGGCTCAAAACTATGCCCAAAACCAAGGCCCAGGTTTAGGACCAGGCCCAAGACCAAGGCCCAAGTTTAAGACCAGGCCCAAGATCAAGGTCCAGGTTTAGGACCAGGCCCAAAACCAGGTCCAAGTCTAAAACCAGGCCCAACTTCAAGGCCCAACGCCCAAAATCAGGACCTAAAACCAAGGCCCAAGGCCCAAGCCCAAAAACCAAGCCCAAAACCAAAACCAAGGCCCAAAATCAAGGCCCAAGGCCCAAATTCAAGGCCCAAAACCAAGGCCCAAGGCCCAAAACCAAGGCCCAAGGCCCAAAACCAAGGCCCAAAACCCAAGACCAAGACCCAGGCCCAAAAACAAGGCCCAAAACCCAAGACCAAGGCCCAGGCCCAAAAAAAAGGCCCAAAACCAAGGCCCAAAGCCCAAAACCAGGCCCAAAAACCAGGCCCCAAACCCAAGACCCAAGGCCCAAGGCTCAAAACCAAGACCCAAGACCCAAGGCCCAAAACCCAGTCCCAAAATTCAGGCCCAAAACCCAAGACCAAAACCCAGGCCCAAAACCAAGGCCCAAGACCCAAATACCAGGCCCAAAACCCAAGGTTCAAAACCAAAAACAAGGCCAAGGCCCAAGGCCCAGGTCCAAGACCAAGGCCCAGGCCCAAAAACCAGGCCCATGATGGAGCCGAGGTCCCACGGAGGCCAGGGGGGGTGGTTTGGGACCCACCTGGAGGTCGTTCTGGGGGTTCCAGTCGGAGTCGAAGATGATGCAGGTGTCGGCCGCCGTGAGGTTGATGCCCAGGCCGCCCGCCCGCGTGCACAGCAGGAAGACAAAGCGATCCGAGTCGGGGCGGCTGAAGCGGTCGATGGCCGCCTGCCGCAGGTTGCCCCGCACCCGGCCGTCGATGCGCTCGTACAGGTACCTGGAGAGGGGGGCAGGAAATGAGGAAATTGGGAGAGGAAACGGCAAAATTCAGGGGAAATGGGGAAATTTGGGGGGAAAATGGAGAATTTGGAGGGAAAACGGGAAAATTTGGAGGGAAAAGGGGGAAATTTGGCGGGAAAAGGGGGAAATTGGGAGGAGAAATGGGAAAATTTGAGGGGAAATGGGGAAATTTGGAGAGGAAATGGGGAAATTTGGAGGGAAAACAGCAAAATTCAGGGGAAATGGAGAAGTTTGGGGGGGAAAAGGGGAAAATTTGGAGGGAAAAGGCGAAAATTTGGAGGGAAAAGGGGAAAATTCAGGGGAAATGGGGGAGTTTGGAGGGAAAAGGGGGGAATTTGGAGAGAAAATGAGAGAATTTAGAGAGCGGGGGGAAAAGGGGAAAATTCGGGGGGAAAGGGGGAGAAATGTGAAAATTTGTGGGGAAATGGAAAAATTTGGAGGAAAAAGGGAGAAATTTGGAGGGAAAATGAGAAAATTCAGAGAGAAAACCGAAAAATTCAGAGAAAACGGGTAAGTTTGGTGGGAAAAGGGGGGAATTTGGTCGGGGGGAAAAGGGGAAAATTCGGGGGGAAAGGGGGAGAAATGTGAAAATTTGTGGGGAAATGGAAAAATTTGGAGGAAAAAGGGAGAAATTTGGAGGGAAAATGAGAAAATTCAGAGAGAAAACCGAAAAATTCAGAGAAAACGGGTAAGTTTGGTGGGAAAAGGGGGGAATTTGGTGGGAAAAGGGGGAAAATTTGGAGGGAAAAGGGGGAAAATTTGAGGGAAAAGGGGGAAAATTTGGAGGGAAAGGGGGGAAAATTTGGCGGAAAATTTGAGGGAAAAGGGGGAAAATTTGAGGGAAAAGGGGGAAAATTTGAGGGAAAAGGGGGAAAATTTGAGGGAAAAGGGGGAAAATTTGAGGGAAAAGGGGGAAAATTTGAGGGAAAAGGGGGAAAATTTGAGGGAAAAGGGGGAAAATTTGAGGGAAAAGGGGGAAAATTTGAGGGAAAAGGGGGAAAATTTGAGGGAAAAGGGGGAATTTGGGGAGAAACTCCTATTTTTTTCCCCCAAACTCTCAAATTCCAAGTAAAATCTCTGACATTCTGGGTAAAATCTCCCAAATCTGTGGGAAAATCTCAAATTTTGGGGGAAAACCTCCCAAATTTCAGATAAAACTCTCATTTTTTTTCCCAAAGCCCTCAAATTCCAGATAAAGTCTCTCAAATTTAGGGTAAAATTTCTCAAATCTGAGAGGAAACCCTCCAAATTTTGGGGAAAACCTCCCAAATTTGGAAGAAAACCTCCCAAATTCCGGGTACAATCTCCCAAATATGGGGGGAAATCTCAAATTTTGGGGGAAAACTCTTCTTTTTTTTTCCTAAAACTCTCAAATTTAAGGGAAAACCTCCCAAATTTGGGAGAAAACCTCCCAAATTGCAAGCAAAATCTCTCAAATTTTGGGGAAAGCATCAAATTTGGGAGAAAACCTCTCCAATTCCAGGTAAAATCTCCCAAATTTGGGGGAAAATCTCAAATTTTGGGGGGAAACTCATTTTTTTTCCTAAAGCTCTAAATCTTTCAAATCTGGGGGAAAACCTCCCAGATTTTGGGGGAAGTCTCTCAAATTTCACGGGAAATTCTCAAATTTGGGGGAAAAGCTCAAATCTGGGGAGAAACCTCTCAAATTCCAGGTAAGATCTCCCAAATTTGGGGGAAAATCTCAAATTTTGGGGGGAAACTCATTTTTTTTCCTAAAGCTCTCAAATTTGAGGGAAAAATCTTTCAAATCTGGGGGAAAACCTCCCAGATTTTGGGGGAAGTCTCTCAAATTTCACGGGAAATTCTCAAATTTGGGGGAAAAGCTCAAATCTGGGGAGAAACCTCTCAAATTCCAGGTAAGATCTCCCAAATTTGGGGGAAAATCTCAAATTTTGGGGGGAAACTCATTTTTTTTCCTAAAGCTCTCAAATTTGAGGGAAAAATCTTTCAAATCTGGGGGAAAACCTCCCAGATTTTGGGGGAAGTCTCTCAAATTTCACGGGAAATTCTCAAATTTGGGGGAAAAGCTCAAATCTGGGGAGAAACCTCTCAAATTCCAGGTAAGATCTCCCAAATTTGGGGGAAAACCTCCCAAATTCTGGGTAAAATCTCCCAAATTTGGGGGGAAACCTCAAATTCTGGGGGGAAACCTCCCAAATTTTGGGAGAAGTCTCTCAAATTTCACGGGAAATCTCTCAAATTTTGGGGAGAAACCTCTCAAATTCCAGATAAGAGCTCTCAAATTTCGGGGGAAACCTCCCAAATTCCGGGTAAAATCTCCCAAATTCTGGGGGGAAACCTCAAATTTTGGAGAGAAACCTCAAATTCTGGAGGGAAACCTCAAATTTTGGGGGATAACTAATTTTTTTTCGTAAAACTCAAATCTGAGGAAAAACCTCCCAAATCTGGGGTAAAACCTCCCAAATTTGGCGGTAAACCTCTCAAATTTGGGGGAAAACCTCTCAAATTCCAGGTAAAATCTCCCAAATTTGGGGGAAAATCTCAAATTTTGGGGGGAAACTCTCATTTTTTTTCCTTAAGCTCTCAAATTTGAGGGAAAAATCTTTCAAATCTGGGGGAAAACCTCCCAAATCTGGGGGAAAACCTCAAATTTCGAGAAAAACCTCTCAAATTCCAGATAAAATCTCCCAAATTTGGGGGAAAATCTCAAGTTTTGGAAGAAAACACTTTTTTTTTCCTAAAATTCTCAAATCTGAGGGAAAAATCTCTCAAATTTGGGGTAAAACCTCCCAAATTTGGCGGAAAACTCTCATTTTGTTTCCCAAAAGCTGCCAAATTTTCCAGAAACCTCCCAAATTCAGGGGACAAGGCTGCCCGGCGCCGCCGCGGCCCCACCTCCTCTGGATGAGGTAGTCCTCCAGGATGTCGAGGCAGCGCACCATCTGCGAGAAGATGAGGACCTTGTGGCCGCCGGCCTTGAGCTTGGGGAGGAGCTTGTCGATCAGCACCAGCTTCCCGGCCGAGCGCACCATGGCCTGCAGGTGGAAGTCGGGGGGGAGGTGGTGGTGGGGCCACGAGTCCCGAAATTCGGCCAGAATCTTCTCCTCGGCGCCTGCGGGGGGCCAAAATGAGAGCGTTAGAGGTGGGGGCAAGGCCTTGGGGATAGAAACCACCAAAAGAGGCTGAAATAAGGCAATTTTGACTGCAGAAATACCAAATTTAAGAGATCACGTGACCTTGGTGGAAGGAAGTAACCATAACAAGGCCAAAATAGGCAATTTTTACCTCAGTAATTTAAGTTTTAGCCCAAAAATGGCTGATTTTGGTGGTTTTGGGGGTTAATCCATGAGGCCTCCACGGCCTTGGTGATGGAAACCACCAGAAGCAGCTAAAATGAGGTAATTTTGACCTTAAAAATGCCGAACTTAAGAGGTCGTGTGACCTTGGTGGAAGAAAGTAACCATAACGAAGCCAAAATGCACAATTTTTACCTCAGTAATTTAAATTTGAGCCCAAAAATGGCCGATTTTCTGGTTTTTGGGGTCAACCCATGAGGTCTCCACGGCCTCGGTGATGGAAACCACCAGAAGAGACTGAAATCAGGCAATTTTGATCTTAAAAATGCCAAATTTAAGAGGTCACATAACCTTGGTGGAAGAAAGTAACCGTAATGAGGCTAAAATGCACAATTTTTACCTCAGAAATTTAAACTTTAGCCCAAAAATTACCAATTTTGGTGGTTTTGGGGGTTAATTCATGAGGCCTCCATGGCCTTGGTGATGGAAACCACCAGAAGAGGCTGAAATAGACAATTTTGACCCCAAAAACCCCGAATTTAAGAGCTCACATGACCTTGATAGAAAGAGACCCCCATGATGAGGCCAAAATGCACAATTTTTACCTCAGAAATTTAAATTCGAGCCCAAAATGGCCAATTTTGGAGGATCTGAGGTCAACCCTTCAGGCCACCAAGCCCTTGGTGATGGAGACCACCACAAGAGGCTAAAATGGGGCCACTTTTTACCCAAAAACCCCCAAATTTAAGAGGTTACATGACCTTGATAGAAGAAGACAACCCTGATGAGGCCCAAACATGCAACTTTTACCACAGAAATTTAAATTTTAGCCCCAAAATGGCCAATTTTAGTGTTTTCTGGGGTTAATCCATGAGGCCTCCACAGCCCTGGTGATGGAAACCACCAGAAGAGCCCGAAATGGGGCAATTTTGACTCAAAAAAGCCCAAATTTAAGAGATCACATGACCTTCATAGAAAGAAACCACCACGATGAGGCTGAAAAGAGCAATTTTTACCTCAGAAACTTAAATTTTAGCCCCAAAACGGCCCACTTTGGAGGACTTTGAGGTCAACCCATGAGGCCTCCACAGCCTTGGTAATGGAGACCACCAGAAGAGGCCAAAATGGGTCAATTTTGACTCAAAAAAGCCCAAATTTAAGAGGCTACAAGACCTTCATAGAAGTAAATCACCACAATGAGGCTGAAAAGAGCAATTTTTACCTCAGAAATTCAAATTTGAGCCCCAAAATGGCCCACTTTGGAGGACTCTGAGGCCAACCCATGAGGCCATCAAGGCCTTGGTGATGAAGACCACCAGAAGAGGCCAAAACTGGGCATTTTTGACCCCAAAATCCAAAATCTAAGAGGTCACGTGACCTTGCTAGAAGGAGATGACCACGAGGAGATCAAAATGGGCAATTTTTACCTCAGAAATTTAAATTTGAACCCCAAAATGGCCGACTGTGGAAGACTCTGAGGTCAACCCACGTGGCCACCAAGGTCTTGGTGACGGAGACCATCACAAGAGCCCCCAAAGCGGCCATTTTTGACCCCAAAATGAGCCCGTAGGCAACCCCGCCGTGCCGTTCAAGACCCGCGGCCGCCATCTTTGCCCTCACCGTTGATGAGGTAGGGGTGGTTGCAGCACTTGCGCAGCTCCATCATGGTGTTGAGGAGGTTGGGCATGTTGGTGTGGCCCGCCCCCTTGGCCAGGAAGGAGAAGTTCTTCTCCAAGATGGCACGGTAGAACTTCTTCTGGACGTTGGTGAGCTCCACCTCGATGATGGTTTCCTGTTTGGGAGCCAGGTTCTTCTCCACGTCCTCTTTCAGGCGCCGGAGCATCATGGGCTTCAAGATGGCCTGTAGCTTCTGGACCTGGGGTGGAGGGACAAGATGGTGGAGGCGGAGATAAGATGGCGGAGGAGAAAAAAAAGATGGAGGAGAAAGGAGGAAGATGGCAGAACAAGATGGAGGACGAGGAGGCGGGGGACAAGATGGAAAAGCAAGAAACGAGCGGGAAACGAAGAGCGGGAAACAAGATGGAGGAGGAAGGGGAATATGGAGAACAGGGAAACAAGATGGAGGAGCAAGAAATGAGCGGGAAACGAAGAGCAGGAAATGGAGGAGGAGGAGGAGGAGGGAGACAAGATGGAGGAGGAGTGAGACAAGATGGAGGAGGAGTGAGACAAGATGGAGGAGGAGGAGGAGGGGGACAAGATGGAGGAGGAGGAGGGGGGGGAGAAGGGGGAGGAGGAGGAGGAGGGGGA